GGACTCAGATGAAGACAGACTTGGCAGGTGGTGACACAGGGCCATGTCAGAGCAATTCCTTCTTCCTGCTCCTCAGGCAGCTGGCTCATGCTCAATGTGTTCCATCTTCAGAGGCTAGAGGCTTGTGCTGGTTTTTAAGAGGAGTCCAAGGAGGGTTTAAATGGTCCACACATACCAGAGGCACTTAGAGGCTTAAGTGGGTTATCTAGAAAATTCACTTGAGAAGAAGTCCTCCTAGATGGATGATGCCAGCTCACCCGCCCCATCACCATCAAAGCCCTGAGCAGCTCCAAAGGCCCTCAGTACCCTCTCTGCCTCCAGCCCGCAGAAAAAAAGGTAGGGGCAGCTTCAAGGGGGTCAACAATGTGGGAAACAAGCCTAGATTTAACCCTTATGTTATGTGGGATGAATTGTGTCCCCCCCCAAAAAAAAAATTATGCTGTAAATACTAACTCTTAGACTTGTGGTTGGAGACCTGGTGGAACTGCAGAATAAGCATTGGAATGCTAATCACCAGGTTGGTAGTTCAAACCCACCAGTTGCTCCTCAGGAGAAAGATGAGACTTTCTGTTTCTGCAAAGATTTGCAGCCTCGGGAATCCAGTATAGGGTCTCTAGGAGTCGGAATCCACGTGATGGCAATGAGTTTGTTTGTTTCTCTGCAAAACGAAGGGTTCGTGATTCAAACCCACCAGCCTGCTCTGTGGGAGAAAGATGAGGCAGGCAGCTTCCTTAAAAATGACAGCCTTGGGACATTGGCTACCCAAAATGAGGGGGGGTGGGGGGTGGCTACAAAGGCAAGAAGTGACTGGCTTACAAGCTTTCAAGAAGGAACCTAGATCCAGAGGGCCTGGAGGAAGGTAGAATCTCCACTGGGAAGTATCCAATCTGTCAAGGCGGGACTGATGAAAGGAGATGCTGATAGGTCTCTTGTGATACAATATCGAATAATTGTTATCAGGACTGACTGTGAGGGTTGGAATTGTAAAGGTAGACATTTTATAGCAAGGAGGGGAGTGATTAACTTTTCAGTCTAGGAGCGGAGGTCCCTGGGACCATCAAAGGAGAAGAGCGGAGTGTGGGACCCTACCCAGAGAAGCAGTGATGCCTGAGATGGAGGAAGAGACGATGACATGGAGAGATGGAGCAGCTGGGGACTTTGAACACAGAGAGGGAGAGGGGCTGTGTGCTGATGACTGGGGTGTGTGTGTGTGTGTGTACAGGCTTGCAGGGTATACCCTTTGGTTGGTTGATGATGCATGGAGGGGATTGTAACCATGGCAATGAAATGACATGTAAAACTAATGTTCTCCCGTGTAAACTATCACATAATTCACAATAAAACATTTAAAAAATAAATTAAAGGGGGAAAAAATGACACCCTTGGATACTCTACTTACTTGGTCCTACAGGGCGGCTGTTGAATCTGAATTGACTCGATAGCAGCTGGGGTTTTTGGTGCTTATGGCTACAATCCCACTTGGGAATGGGTGTTTCTTTGTTATGTCAATATGCTGTTGTTGTTGCTCTTTAAGTGCCATTGAGTTGGCATGGACTCATAGCAACCCTGTGCACAACAGAGTGAAACACTGCCCAGTCCTGCTGCAACACCACAATCTGCCACTGTGCCAACCCATCTCGTTAGGGTCTTCCTCTTCCTCTCCGACCCTCCACTTTACCAAACATGATATCTTTCACCAAGGACTGGTCTCTCCTGACAATATGTCCAAAGTATGAGAGACAAAGTCTGGCCATCCTGGCTCCCAAGGAGCACTCTGTCTGCACTTCTTTCAACACAGATTAGTTTGTTCTTGTAGCAGTCCGTGGTTCCTTTAATATGATGGGGCTTCTGAAAGTTCATGGAAACATGAAATGAAAAGAGAGTGGAATTTTTCCAGGAGCTTTCTGAAACCTCCTTGTATCAACATAGGGTGTGTCTTAAGACAATCACTTTTGAGATATAAAACACAGAGAAGCAAACGAGAGAGAAACCAGGCCACATGAAGGTCACAGAGAAAAAGAAGCTGCAAAGAGACAAGGGTCTTCCCCCGAGAGCTGACACAGAGAGAAAGCCTTCTCCTAGAGTTGCCACACAGAATTCAAACTCAGGCTTGTTAAACTATGAGAAAATAAATGTGTTCATTGAAGCCATTGTGGTCTTCCTATTATAGCACCAGAGAATGAAGATATCTCCGTCTCTCCATTTCTAAAAACTCAGACTAAACCCACTGTCCCTGAATCGATTCCGACTCAATACAACCTTATAGAAAAGAACTGTTCCTTATGGTATCTGAGACCGTAAACCTTTATGGGAATAGACAGTTTCATCTTTCTCCCGAGAAGTGGCTGGTGGGTTTGAACTGCTGACTTATCAGCAGTTAATAGCCTGAAGCTTAACCCATAGCATCACCACAGTTCCTCTTAAAAACAACCCACTACTGGATTCCAACTCATAGCCACCCTCTCTGTGGTTTCCCAGGCTGTAAATCTTTACAGGGTCGGAAAGCTTCATCTTTTTGTCTCAGAGGAACTGGTGGGTTTGAACTCCTGACCTTGCAGTTGTGAGTCCAAATCTTACCCTATTGCGCCACAAGGCCTCCTTTTCTATAAACAAGAAGGGTTGATTTCAGTGCTCCTCATCCCCTAGGTGTTGAGTGAATGGAGCCTGGGATGCTAGTTAATACTATGGGCCCTCTCTGTGCCTCAGTCTCCTCATCTGCAGATTGGGGGTGGTTGTGAATGGGGATCCAGTAACCTAGTTCATTTAAAGGGCTCAGAGATTAGCTATTGTTGGGGGACCCTGAAGCCAGAGTGTCTGTGTCCCTTGACCCCTCACACACACCCCTGGGGTCTGTTATCTGTCTGCTCTCAATGGCTCCACCTTGAATCTGGCAACTGGAAGGGGCAGGCAGAGCAGCTCTGGGGTGGGGGACCCCACCACCAGACCTCACAAGTCTCATCAGTCTTAGATGATGCTGGAACAGGGGCCCAAAGTTTGGGACAGGATTGAGCAGCTCCAGGACCAAGACTGTGCCCCCTGCCCCCTGCTTCCCTGTGACCCAAAGTTGTCACTAGAGTAGGACAGAAAGATTTATCCCAGAGGACAGGGCCCTTCCCTGGCACCCCTATTTTCTTCTTTCTAACACCTTAGACATGTGACATGTACACTTGATTTTACCACCCATCTTCCCGCTGGGGGTTCTAGGCTCAAGCACCAGCTGTCCCCTGCAGAAGGGACAGTGTCTGGCATCTGGCAGTGGCCCCGGATTTGAATGAATGAATGGGTTCATGTCACAGGAGGCCTGACCTGTGGTCCTCAGAGGACCGACCGGGGAGACTGGGTAGGGATGCTAGTCCAGATGGAGAGGGGGGTGGTGTGAGAACAGGGGGAGGAGGCCTAGGCTGAGCCTTTGAAGGGGGAAATTCAGAGGGGCAGCAGAAGATGACAGGACAGAGGCCTTGCTAAGGGGTCCCAGCCAGCCTGCATTTAGCCCGAGGCCACAGACCAATGGAGAAGTCTCCTCAAGGTGTCACCAGTCCCAGGAGGCACTGGCCTAGAAGTTGCTGTGTGCCCCTCCCCCCCCAGCCCGAAAGAAAACCCACAGGTGGGGAGGGTCCTCAGAGGACCTAGCCACCCCACCTTTTTCTATCTGTGACCGCTGCTCCTTGCTAAGGACCCAGAGCACCCCACAGCTCTGCTGATGCTGCTGCAGCCAGACATCACCAATCAATCATCATCATTCTAACTCTGAGTACCAGGCTTCAGCTATGTTAGCCTGGAGTTGGCCAGAGCTCCTTCAGCTGAGAACAGGGTTACCCAGGGAGGGCCAGTGGCCAAAGCAGCCTCAGGGCCTTCTCCTCCTCCTGGGGAGGGGGAGGCCGGGCCCATGCCCCAGTGACCCCCAGGCCCAGGGACACTAAGCAAGGACTGCTTGAACAGTGAGTGGCGGGCAGGGAAGGGGGAGCCTCTAGGATTTGGGTTTAATCCCAAGCACGAGGGTGGACAAGGGAAGGATTGGGTTTCTTTCCGTCCGATGGCCAAGCCTTGGCCTGAACTCCAGCGGGCAGGAGCAAAGGCACGTGGCTGCCTAGCCCCTACCAACAAAGCCGTCCTTTATTAAATGGAGATCTCATTACATTCCACTCAGAAAAAGGAAACTGGACATGCTGAAGGATGTGTCCAGGCTGCAGCCCCTGACCCTGGGCCCCAGTGGGCTGTCAGGGTGAGGCGGGGCCAACCACCCTCTGTGGACAAGAAGCGTGGGTGTCCTGAGGCTTGTCCACCTGTCCATGGGCAGAAAAGTGCCCAGAGTCTCATGGAAGCATAGGGTTGAGACTGGGGGAGGGTGGGAAGAGGGGTCCTGATTCATCTGTAGACCCTCCAAGGGCAGTGTTCAACCATACATGGGTTGGAGTGGAGACGGTATGAAGGTCTGCCAACCCCACCCAACATTGATGACCCCATGGGCACTTGGAACAGCAGGGAACGTTGGTAGAGAGTGTAGGCAAAGGTAAGGGCTGGTCTGGGGCACTCAGTTCCTGGGGGCAAGGGTGCCACCTGGGACCCTGGTAAGGGATGGCCACATAGAGGCACTGGTGGCCCAGGGCTCGGGAGTTGGGGTGCAGGAGACCGGGGAGATGTGGCCACAGCTCCCCTTCAGAGGAGGTGGGAGCAACAAGGCATGGGGAGCCTGAGGGGAGAGGGCTGCCCCAAGAGCCCCTCCGTGGGCTGAGCCCCCCTGAACATGGTTCCCAGCTCCTCCATCTTTGGTGTTTTCTGAAGGTCTCTGGAGGGCTGTGGAACCCAATGAGGGCAAGAGAAGGGCCGTCTCCATCTTTCCTGGGACAGCTGCCTGGTGCTGGCTCAGGGCTACTCAGGGTCCCAGACGTTAGTCCTTCCTGGGGCTGATGTTTGGCTTCTGGTCCTTGTTTTCCTGTCTGTCCATCCTGGGGCAGCTGTCTGCTCCAGCTCAGAGGCCCCCCTCCAGGGTAGGCCACGCCCTAGGCCTCCTGGGGGAAGAAGCCCAGCTTGGCCAAAGACATCTCCTTCCGTAGCCTCATGACCTCCCAGAACATCTGCTCCGCTGAGGGTAGAGAAATGGGCACAGCTGGGGGACAGCTCGGGCAGACACCGTCCCCTCCCCTGGCTTCTAGTGCTGCTGCCTTGGGCTACCACAGGACTTTGGGGCACTCCAGCCCTGACCTATAACGGGGCTGGGCCACAGCACAGATGCGGGGGCACCTTGGAAGTTCCTGCATGCTGAACACACACAAGGGGCCTGCACTGACCTGGTGGAGGTAATGCCCCCCACACCCTGACACAATGTCAGGATCATCCATAATGAACCCTGGTGGGGCACCATGCACGCAAGGTCCCTGAAAGGGCGGCGCACGCAGCCCCTTGGGCCCAAGTCCTGGGTGCCCTGGACTTGAATCTCAGACTACAAACTGCTGGGAGGAAGGTCCCCTGGGAACAGAGTTGGACTGGTGGGTCTGGAGCCCAGGAATTTCCGAGTGGGGGACAGGGGCACGGTGGGTGGGGCCTACCAGGGAGGGGGTGCTGTTATTGCTGTCGAGTTGATGCCAACTCATAGCAATCTTGTACAGGGTTTCCGAGGAGCAGTTGGTGGGTTTGAATCACCAACTTTGTGGTTCTCAGTCCAGTGCTGATCCAACAGCGTCCACCAGGAGTCCAGAAAGAGATAGGGACCCAGAGGCAGGGACAGTGAGGGGAGGGGACACCAGGCAGCCACACCAGGTAGTGGAAGAAGGACCCAGTCTCAAATAGCAGGCCAATCACAGGAACACTGCCTCTACCGACCCTGGGAGCTAGGAGAGGGCTCTGTTCTGGGAGAGAGAAGAGAACTCTGCCCAGGTAGTGGGAGGTATGGGCTGGTTCCCTGGTAAGTTCCTGTATGAGGCAGGGCCCAGTTTCTGCAGCTCATATCTCCATAAAATTCAGCAATCAGGAGGTCCATCAGCCCCTCATTAACCCACAACATGCCCCCTCTCACTGGCCTTCTGGCTGGGGCACCCCTGTCCTGAGGTTCTGGTGTCAGACCCAGCAGCCTCCCTCTCCTGGGTGCCATCCCTCTGCTTGCCACCAGGGGGCGCTCACCGTCCTGCCGCACCAAGCCTTGCTGGATGTATCTGATGTAGGTAAAGAAGTTGCACACTGCTGTGATCTGTGGGCAGAAAAGGAGGGGTGTGAGCAGTCTCCCAACAGCGGCAGGTGGCACCTTATCAAGCGTACATATCGAGTGGACAAACATGCTTATCATCCCTATTTTACACACAGGGGAAACTGAGGCACCAAGAAGGGAGGCCGATGGCTGCAGAGATCCCGGAACTAACAAGTGAATTCTTCTCCACGGGAAGAGCTTTGCTGGTGCCCACCCTTCCACAGCCCCTTCCCCACACGGGGCCCATTTCTCAGCTGCTGAGAGTGTTGGCCAATAAGGCACTTAGCAGTTTGGAAGACACTCTGAACTCAGCGAAGTTACATCCTGGCAGACATCTTGATAGCAACCGCGAGACCCTGAGTAAACAACCCAGTGAAGCTGACCCAGGAGCCCGTGACACTGTACATACGTTGTTTTCTTACACAGCAGGAGAAAATGAGCATACCAAGTATGCTGTGTGGCTCCCGTCTATCACTGCCCTTCTCACTCCCAGCCCAGGTGGCCCATAAGGAACCAAGGGATGCCCCCGACTGACTCACCCTGGCCCGGGAGGATGGCGAAATGTAGTATTGGCTCTCGGAGTCACCGAGTCGAATGCGGTGGCGGCAGGCTCGGGCCAGCCCGCTCAGGGCACATGTGCTGCAGGGAAGCAGAGGGGACCGTGGGTGGCTGGCTGGGGACTCACCGGTTCCTGCAGGCTGGACACAGTACTAGGAGGAGGAGCTGTGGGAAGAGGCTCCCCCACCTGAACCCACACTCATGCATCCTGTCCCCATGCTGGTCCCTGGCTCCAGAGTGTTGCTCTCTGCTCCTCACCAGGGTGGCTGAGTCCTAAGCTGGGTCAGGCCAGCATGGGCTTTTGCCTGGATCTCCCCCTCTTCTCCACACTCTGGCTAGGACTCCCCCCCAAACCCACACTAAGGTTAGCAGTTTCCCTGGGGTTTTCCTACTCCCCGGGAAGGAACTATGGAAAGTCCCAAGTAAACCGAGGCTAAACAGATGTCTTGACTGCAGACTTATTAGAGCCTTCAGCGATTCTGGATGCTGTGACTCCGGGATGTGACTGGGCATCCCTCTTGTCAGGGAACACCTACTGATAATCTCTGAAACGCTGACCCGGAGGGTCAAGGCCCTTGAGAATCTGGTCCCAAACACGAGCTGTGGCCTTGGTCCCAAATCCCCCATCCATCCCATGACTCCGTCCACCCAGCATTTCCAGACCTTCCTTCCTTCGGTTCCCTCTTTCTAAAGGGTCCTTCCATACTTGGCCAACTGCTCTTCACCCTTCAAAACCTGGTTCAAAAGTTCTTTCTCCAGATGACGGCCCCTCCCAAAGTAGATCTTGGCTCCCAGTTTCTGCCCCACCCTGTCCCTCCTGACTCCTTTGTTCTGCTGCCGCTGCTTGAAGCCAGCGGAGTCACAGGTGGACAAAACACCAAGGCAGTTAGGTGACTTATTTCAGCATCTGACATCACGTACATGTCACCTAGGGCCTGGAACCTTCTGTGGGAGAGAGGGAAGGGGGCCAGCTTGGGGTCTATGACTGGACACAGGGAGCTCTGCCTAAGGCCTTTCTTGCCCCATGCAGGGGAGGCGCCCCATGTTCCTGGGTCCCTGTCCCGAAGCACACTATAGCCACTGTGTGTGTTGGGGTTTCATGCCAGGACCCCAGGAGGCCAGCCGAAAACTCAGTCCCCTGGCCACTCAGGCTAGTGGGGTTTTCCCCAGTGGACAGGGACAGAATGTGCTTACTTGGTGTTGCCACACTCGACCGCAGCAGCCACCTTGACCACAGGCAGAGTCTGCGAAGCCACGGGCTCAATGGTGAGTGTGTTATCCTCCACAGCGGCCCGCACCAGAGCCGAGAGCTGCGGCAGACAGGGAGGGCAATGAGGGGCTGGGGCAAGGGGAGTGGATCTGGGTCCCTGGAAACCACCTGTGCCCCACTCACCTCCTGCATGGTAAAGTCCAGGCAGGGACCCACATCCTCCCGGTATACCCTTTCCAGGAAGGCGCAGGTCTTGTCCAAGGTGGGCGATTCCCTCCAGGCCTGAAACTCGGCAAACAGGGTGGTGTCCACCTGTGAGGGAGAGTGGGCTGGGGTGGGAAGCAGTCAGGGTGCTGGTCACCCCTGACAGCATAGGCAGGTGAAGAGGAGGAAGAGGGAGCCAGGGAGGAGGCAGGGCAAGCCCTAGCATGCCAGCAGGTGTGTGCCCAGTGGCCATGCAGGTAAGGCAAGTCCAGAGTTCCCCAGGAAGAACCACCTTCTTCCCTGGCACCAAAGAATTTTATACAAAAAGTTCCATTTCCATATGAGATGTGAGGCCCTTGGCACCATGGGGTTCCTGAGCTAGCCTCCCCTTTTTTTCAATCTATAGGTAAGGGACAGAGGGGCACACTGGGAACCGGATTCTCAGAAGCATGCCAAGGAAGAGAAGACAGCAAAGCAGCCCAGATGGTAGTCATGTGACAGGCAGGCTTGGTCCTGAAGACCCTCCCACCCCAGTTCGCTGCCTCTTTAAGGAGGAAAAGTTAAAAAGCAGACCTGCAGGTACACACAGGTACATATAAGGGGGCTTCCAAAAGTGTATGGATAAATGGAATCGGAAGAGAATGAATTTTTCCACATACTTTCTGAAACCTCCTCATATAGGTTCACGCAGGCTCACACGGGTACACACAGGTACATACAAGGGGGCTTTCAAAAGTTGGAAAAATGGAATCGAAACATAATGGAATTTTTCCATGCACTTTTTGAAGCCCCATCATACAGGTACACGCAGGTACATACAGGTATACTCAGGTACACGCAGCACACACAGGCACATGCGCACAGGAGGAGGGCATGAACCCGGGGTGTCCCTGCTCCCCACCCCAGAGAGCAAGGCTGGGGGGCAAAGGTGAGGCCCTACTCAGGAGCCATTACCTGGCGGGACAAGGAGAGAGAGGTAGCAGAGGTGGGGGTGGCGGGCGGCTCCCCGGGTGGGAGCTGCCAGGCCGGTTCGTACGTGAGGTGGATCGCTCTGCTGGGGACCACGCAGAGGAGGAGGGAGAGGAGGGGGGGCAGCCCGGGCTGGGTGGGCCGGGTGGTGGGGCAGACGGACAGACAGACAGACGCAGAGAGACAGACAGGAGGAAGGAGGAGATGTTAGTGTCCAGTCAGACCCTGAGAAGGGGAGCAGAGGCTTTCCTGGGTTACTCTGGGGGCCTGGGGAGGCAGACTGTGTCCTGATGCGGGAGGGACAGGTCTAGCGGATCAGTCCTGGAATCCCCGCAGCCCGAGCAGGACAGAGCAGAGTCTGGGGCAGGACTCGAGGAAGCGGCTCCCACCATATCCTTTGTGAAAGTTCACGAGGCGCAGTCCTGAGCTGAGACCCCGCTGACCACTGAGGAAACCAAGGAGGCGGACCACAGCCATGAACGCCAGTCACACCACAGCCTAGTCCAGAGATGACCACTCCCCCAAGTGCAGTGCTTGTCCCAGTGCCGCCACTAGGGGGCGATGAGGACCAACGGGCCAAAGAATGTCCGGAGGCAGTACTGGGCCTCAGGGCGGGACCTCACAGGGCCGGACAGCCCCTCCCCATAGGTCCATCGGCCTCTGCTCAGCCTCTTCAGGCCCCCAGGGCAGACAGTCAGGGCCATACTTCGCACAGGAGAGAGCAGCGGGGCAGGAAGGGGGCGTCAAGGCCCCCACAGTATACTCCCCTTCCCCTTCCCAGCCGAGGTAAGAGCCTGGCGCTTAGGACCTGCACTGCCCTTGTGGTCATGGCTTGCAGAGGCCCAGAGATGGGCAGAGCGGGCTCCAGACCACACAGTGCGGGGCCAGGCTCTGACCCCGCTGTCGGTTGGCGCTGCACTTTCTCCTTCTTGCGTCTACCACCAGGCGCGCCCCTCACCTCCTTGCCCTCCCTGTCTGGAGTGAGAGCGTGTCCTGCGACTGGACACACGGCCGGGCAGAGGGTGTTGCTGGTGCCTTTGTGACGGAAGTGGCCCTTGCGGGTCCCGGCCTTGGCGGGGCTCAGTAGCTGCGGGTGGAGCTCACGGTTGGGGGAGGCAGGGGTGGACGTGATGACAAGGGTCTTCAAGGCTGTCACCTCCGCCTGCAGCATGTCAATCTGGCCAGGATAAGATAGCTCAGGGTTGACAGCAAACCCCACCCATCATCCCTGGAACAGCCATAATCAGAGAGGGAAACCGAGGCTCAGAAAAGACATGTGACCTGCCCAAGCCACAACTCTGCAATTAGTGCACGTCGGGGAGCTGACTGGGAACTCTGGGCCTCCCACTTTGTAGATGGGCAAACAAGGCCCAGCTGGGGCTTCTGCTTGCTGGGAGAGAGGAAATGACTGTACCTCCAGGAGCGGTCAAGAGCTCCCTGGTGCAGTGGAGGGGTGCTGTTCAGTTCCAGGGGAGCCCAGTGAGCCCCCTCCAGCTCCCATGCCCCCTGGGGTTTGCCCATCCCTACTGACTAACCCCACTGTGTGATGGTGACAATCCCACTTGGTCTGGCTGACCAGTGCTCTGGGGCCAGCAGGCAGCCTCACCTTGCCTCGGGCTTCCTTCAGCTGCTTCTCTGAGGCTGCCTGCTTCATGTTGGCTTCTCGAACCATCTTATGGGCTTCCTGGGAAGAGGGGTGGGCTATGTATGAGTGGCTAGGAGGAGCCGGCTACCCGATCCCCAGGGTGCCCCCTCTGCTGCACCTCAAACAGGCTGGCTGTCAGCTCCTCCAACTCCTCCTCCAGCTGCTCTCGAACCTTGGACAGACGTTCACACTCCTCATCCTTCAGCTTCAGTTCCTGGGGGCAAGAGACAGGTGCTGTCAGCCCCATCAGGGCCCCAGCCCACCCACCCAGGGCAATGGGCCCACAAGTCCACTTTCATATTGCCTGACAATATGAGGGTAAGTCAAAAAGTATTGCTACCAGGGTTCTAGTTCATACCTACACAGGTTTATTCCCAACAACATGTGTTTAGACATGTTTCTACCATTGGTGCATGGCTGCAATAATACACTAGTCTTAGCCTCATTAGGGAGTTCTGGTGTGGCTAATGCGTCAGACTGCAGGGTGGTTTGAATTGCGAGGTCGGTGGTTCAAGCTCACCAGCTGTTCCTTGGAAATCTTATACAAGGTCACTATGGGTCAGAATTGACTCGACGGCACTTAACAACAACAACCTCATTAGGGTGCCTTAAAAAAAAAACAGCCCAGTCAAAACACTGGCTTCTGAGGTTCAATTCAAAGCAGTGAGGCCAGCTCAAAAAGTTATGACAATTACAGAGGACTAGAGTGGACAGTGAAGTGTCCAGCTGATAAGAAGAGAGGGTGTATGCACAAGAATACCCACACTTGCAGATAATACCCACTTAACCTGGCTTCAATGACTGGATGATCAGAGCTCAACTAGAAGAAGAAAGAAGAGGAAAAAAAGAGTAATCTGATACAATTTGATGAACTTGACCTACACCTATGGATGCAGTAACTCAAAAGGGGGAACAAATCTTTACAGCGAGGATCATTCCCACCCCCTTCAATACACAGGGTGGACAGGGATGGGCAACTTGGACATTGGCTACCCAAAATGGGGGGCTACAAAGGGAAGAAGCGACTGGCTTACAAGCTTTCAAGAGGGAGCCTAGATCCAGAGGGTGCGGAAGGTAGAATCTCCACTGAGTAGTATCCAATCTGTCTGGGCGGGGCTGATGAAAGGAGATGGGGATGGCTATTACTATCAGGACTGACTGTGAGGGTTGGAAATGTAAAGGCAGACATTATGTAGCAAAACAAGGGGAGTGGTTGACTTTGCAGTCCAGGAGCGGAGGTCCCTGGGACCATCAAGGGAGAAGAGCAGAGAGCAGGACCCTATCCAGAGAAGCAGTGACACCAGAGATGGAGGCAGAAACAATGAGATGGAGAGAGGGAACCGCTGGGGACTCTAGACCCAGAAAGGGAGAGGGGCTGTGTGCTGACGACCAGGGGGAAGGCTTGCAGGGTATACTCTTTGGTTGGTTGATGATGCATGAAAGGGATTGCAACCATGGCAACGAAATGATAGACGATAGGATGAATGTAAAACTAATGCTCTCCCATGTAAACTACCACATAATTCACAAGAAAACATTAAAAAAGAAAAAGGTTATGGCAACTGTTTTCTGGAATTCCAAAAGGGTCATCTTGATAGATTTTCTTAAAGGACACAGGACCACCACAGGGGCTTATTAGGAAGAAATTTCAGGAAAATTGAAAAGTGCATTTGTGAGCAGCAAGGCCAGGAAAGCTGAGGATTCGAATTCTTTCTGTCACGACTCACGCTTCCACAGTAGCAACGGCTATCTGAGGATTTTGTTGGGAAACCTTGCCCTACCCACCCTATACCCCTCACCGTGCCCCTTCAGGCTTCATTTTGTTCTCCAGATTCAAAGAACATGGAAAAGGGACACAATTTGATTCCCTTGAGGATGCCCAAACTGATGTTTTGATGTGGTGTAAATAATGAAGGTGTGCAGAATTCTTCAGGGAAGATGGGAACATCGTCTTCAGAAGTGCACCGATCTAGATGGAGGATGTGTCGAGAAACAATAGCTTCACGTTTTGATACTTTTGTTTCGTATATGATGCATTTTCCATTTAGCTCATTGCACAAGCTTGACATTACTATCAGTCCATTAGAACTTGAAAAAGGTTTTCAGAGAAGATTCTAAAGTGATTTTAAAGTCACAAGATATTAGTGGTTCCCAGGAGCTGGGAGGAGGAGGGAAGGGGAAGTTATTACGGAAAGAATGCTGAGTTTCTCTTGAAGAAAGACTTGTGGGACTGGATAGTGGTGGTGGTCGCACAACGTGGTGACTGTAAGTGCTGTTGTTGTTTTTGCTCTTGGTGACTCTACGCTAAATGGACTGAAACACTGTCCTGCACCAACCACACGGCTGTAGATGAGGCCATTGGGATTCATAGGGTCTTCACATTGGCAGATCTTCAGAAGTAAATCACCAGGCCTTTCTTCCTTGTTCATCTTTCTGAAAACTCTACAGAAACCGGTTCACCATCACAACCTCACAACCACACATTGAATATGCATGAGGTGCATTGGCCAGAACCTGGGTCTCCCACTGGGAAGGTGAGAATTCTGGCACTGAGATGTAGCCCTCTCCCCAGACCTCTGACCTCACCTTCTGGGCTTTGTGTAGCTCCTCCTTCAGGAACTCCGAGCCCTTCTCCCGAATTTCCACGGAGGAACTACGCAAGCGGGACACGTCCAGCGGAGCAGCTGCAGGGCCCTCTTCCCTGGCAGGGCTCTCCGCCAGGGCTCCTTTGCTGAGGTGGACACTCTTCCAGGGGCCTGGGACAGCCCCGAGGGGTGGCGGGCAGCCCTCCTCGGAGGGGGGCTGGCTATGAAACAAACAAGGGCATCATCAGCACAGGCAGTGCGGGGACCTGAGAGCTGGAGACCCCAGCCCACCTGCCCCATCTGTAAAGAGGGCACTAGAGTTGTTGCAGGGGCCGAATGAACACACAGGAGGCCTCTTGGGGGCAAGTACTGATCTTTGTCAAACTAGCCGTCCAGCTTGGGGACTGTCTGCACACACCAGAGTCTCCATTTCACATCTGGAAAGTGGGACCAGTCCCAAAATCCCTGTGTCACTGAAGGGATTAGAGATGTGTGTAATGCCATACGCACTCAGTGGGAGCTGCCAGCTCATCAGTGTTCTTGCAAATTGTACTAAAATTCTACAAATTCTACTGCATTCAGAGCTGAGCCACTGGGGGACTGGCAGGGTGGAGGCAGGAAGTTTGTGGGGCTCTGTGGTAGCTCTCCTATGGATGCTGGCCGGGTGATCTCAAGAAAACACCCCTCTGTGGACCTCTGGACCTCCGCTTTCCTGACGTCGGGACCCTCCCACCCCCTCGCCCATACTCTTGTCTTGCACGGGAGACCCTGGGGATGGGGGAAGGGGAGGGCCCCGGCCAGGCAGAGGTTTATGCCGACACAGCACCTCTGAACTTGCTCACTCAGCAAAAGACAGCAGTTCCTGAGCCAGCAGCTCCGCGGCCTAGCCTAGTCTGGGCTGGGACACTGCTAACGGCGGGGATGGGGGGGTAGTGTGTGGGTTAGGTAGGGGACTCAAGGAGACTGCACAGGCAGGGGCTGGAGGCAAGGTCACTGAGGGAGAAGGGTGAGACGCAGGGCAGGAGATGGGTCCCCCTTCCTGTCCTGAAGACCCTGGCAAAGCCACCAAACAGTCCCAGAGCCTCAGTTACTCCTCTGATAACACAAAGACACAGGACTCCCAGGAGACCCCAGCCCTTCATGGAGTTCTCAATAACTGTCCATTCAGTCTGTCCTCCAGACAGGCTTCTACTCCTCACGGGCCTGCCTGACCAGGCCCCCGAAGCTCTGATGAGTAAGGTGAGAACATACATCCATTACTTAGCATCCACAGTGTGTGGCTGACTAGGGTACACAGCTCCCCCCCCCCCCCCCCAAGAATGTTCCTGAAATTCTCTATAATACCTGCACTGTAGGAATCAAACAAGAAAGCGCTTGGCTTGGTGTCCACAGCCCTGCTGGGCAGAGACTCCCATCCTTCCTGCTGCTTGTTCAGACACTACTGAGGCTTGGCGAAGCAGCAGACCCCGATGGGCTGCCCACTTCAAGACGATGAACAAACAATTTGGTGAACTGGACCTTTGCTTAAGGATGCAGTGGCTCAAAATTGCAACCGGAATGGAAGGATTCTTCATATCAAGGACAAGCTTGTTTCCTCAGTGATGTTGATGTTGTTGTTGTTAAGTGCCGTTGAGTCGGTTCTGATCCATAGCGACCCTGTAGAGGGTTTCCGAGGAGCAGCTGGTGAGCTTGAACCACTGTTGGCAGTTCAAATGGATTTGAAATCCGGCACATTAACACTGGATTGACACGGATGGGCAATTTAGATATTGGCTATCAAAAATGGGGGTGGGGAGCACTACAAAGGCACGAAATGACTGCTTTGCAAGCTTTCATGAGTGTACTTAGTTGTAGAATGAGGCGGGTAAGGTAGAATCCCCACTGAATAGTTAGCCTCTTTTCCAGCTGGATCTGGTGAAAGGGGACCGGGGATGATGTTGATGGGATTTTATGATTCAGTTGGGAGCAATTGTTAGCAGGAGTAATTGTGATTGTGAAAACTGTAATTGCAGAAGATGTGTAACTAAAAGGAAGGAGTAGTTCATCTTTCATTTCAGGAGCAATCCCAGGACCATCAGGTAGGAGGAGCATGAGTGGAGAGTGAGACCCCTACCTAGAAAAATGGCCACAGCAGAGACGGTGGCCATGGCGGTGGCCTGGAGAGACAGAGCAGCTGCGGGCTCTAGGCCCATGGACTGAGTCAGGCTGCGTGCCTGCGGGCAGGAGGCTGGTTCACACAATGTGCCCTTAAACATTTGTGCTGTTGTTGTTAAATGCTGTTGAGTCAGTTCCATCTCATAGTGACCCTGTATAGGGTTTCCAAGGAGTGGCTGATGAGTTTGAACTGCCAACCTTTCAGTTCAAACCGACCTTGCAGTCTAGTGCCAATTGAATATATATTTTTGTTTAGTATGTGGACATCAAATATTTTTGCGTTGTTCATTTGTGTGTGAAATATAAGATGTAAACGGGGAGCCACAGGAGGGAGTAGGGTAACTGTGGTTGCAGGGAGGGGTTTGTAATCACTGAGATGAAACAAAGCATATGATTTGTTGAATGTAAAGCTGATGATCTTGTCCTGAAAACTTTCACTCAATTCACATTAAAAGGTTTTTTTTAAAAAAAATAATAATAATGAGCAAGAACCACAGGGGCACCACAGGGCATGAGACAGTCTCCCTGACACCTTCCCCCACCCCCAGTGGAACAGCCAAAGTCCAGTTCCTAGTGGAAATAGCAGGGCCACCCCACAGTCACCCACACCTGGGCTACAATGGAGGCAGCTCTCCTTCCCTCTCTCCTCCCCGCCCCCACCTTGGAGGGAACTGGGAATCTGCAGCCCCTCTTCCCCCCTCCCACTTCCTCTCATGACTTAGAACTGTCCAAGGAAGGGACCTCCAACCAGGCAGAATCCCCCATCCTCGACACCCTTAGGCTTCCCACACCAAAGGTCAGTTCACATGGGTTTGAATACCTGAGGTGGTGGGGAACTCACTTCCAGCACTGTGTGAGAAAGTACTGGACTGAAACGTAGGTTTGAACTACAAAGTTGGTGGTTCAAACTCACCAGTTGCTCCTTGGAAACTTTACACAGAGTCGCTGTGTGTCAGAACCAACTCGATGACACTTAACAACGACAACAATGTCCCCACCACTCCTCAGACCAGAGCCTTGAGCTGTAGCTCAAACCTTAGTCCCTACCCCCTCCAAAACAGAGTTCAGGGTCTTGGATAAGGAAACCTGGTGCAGCAGTGATTAAAGTGCTAGGCTACTAAAGGTCAGCCCCTCTGTGGGAGAAAGCTGGAGCTGTCTGCTTTGGTAAAGATTTATAGCCTTGGAAATCCTGTGGGGCTGCTCTACTGTGTCTGGCAGGGTTGCTACGAATCAGAATGAATTCAATGGCAGTGGCGTTTGGATTTTTGTCTGGAACAAGCTGCTGAGAAGCCAAAGTCCTCAGACTGTAGAGAGGGGTGTGCTTAAGGGCTACAGAGAGTAAGAGGTCAGCGGCAGGTGGGGGCACCCAACACTCCCCATCCTGAAGCCAACCCGGCTGCTTGGAGCCCACGGGAAGGCCTTGCAGTTCTCACCGGAAAGGCCCCCACTGGGTCATTTCCCCAGGAAACACGCAACCAGGGAGTGGGGGTGGGGGACGGCTCCCGCCATCCTTACCCACCAGGCCTGCTCTTTTGTCCCTGTCTACAAAACCCTGTCCTGTTGTGGCACTGTGGGTTAATGCGCTAGACTGCAAAGCTGTTTGAACTGCAAGGTCAGCGGTTCAAGCTCACCAGCTGCTCCTTGGAAACCCTATACAGGGTTGCTATGAGTTGGAATCGCCTCAAAGGTACTTAACAACAACACAAAATATGGCAGAATGCAACCAGGGACACCTGGGTCTGACTCACCATGAGTCCCCCTGGGTCAGGGCCTGGCTAGAGCTGTGTGCCACAGGTCTTTCTGTCCCTCCACTTGTCCCTCCCTGTGGTCAGTGCAGGTGACCCTGTCCAGGTCAGCGGGTTGAGTGAAGGTTTCCTATGCTAACAGGCACATTGGGTTCATACATAAGCTGGGGAGGGGGGCAAGGGGCAGCTCCAAAATGGGATGGAAGAGTGGGCTGGCAGGCAGGCTTAGACTGCGTATAAGCCACTGGGACCACCAGGCCCAAGTCCCAGCGAGATGTAGCTGCTCTTGTCTGCAGGAACCCAGCCTAGGGCCCAGCTCCAGGGCCAAGGCTCACTTCCCTGTGCAGTCTAGCAGGGGACGGGGCTGACAGGAGCCTCCGAGGGGGACCTGCACCCTACCCAGGAAAAGGCTTCTCATGCATCTAGGTTCCTCTGCTGACCTTGAAGCCCAGCACAGCGTGTGAAGGGCTTGAAGCCCCTCAGCACACCAGGTCTCCAGGTCCTCTCCCCCAGAAGCCATCGAGCGGGCCCTAGGGTGATGCTGCCGGAAGATGCTGTCACCAGCCTGAGGTTCAGAGAGGGAAAGTGACCAGGCAGAACCACACAGCAACAGGTGGCAGGGTGGGGTATGAAACCAGAGCCCAGGCACTGGTGCGTCACATCCGGATGGGAGGAAAGGGGAGGAATGGTGGTTTCAAGAGAAATGAGGCAGGATGCAGACGGGATTTGAGGAAGTTGGGGGCAGCACCCAGTGGTGGGGGAGGGTCACACTTGCTATACAAGCCAGGCAGGGCCTAGGCTCAGATGCACACACAGACAAAAGACCCTGGAGAGGAAATCATGATAGGTTCAACATTTGGATACCAAAATCAAACCCACTCTTGCTAAGTTAGTTGATCCTGACCCATAGCGACCCTAAAGGACAGGGCTTCTGAGGGGGTAAATCGACTTAAAAAATCAAAGGAAAGGTGAGAAGACCCATGACAGGAATGAGGAACTGGGAGGGAGCTTTCAGGGAAGGGAGGGTGGCTGAGGTGTCTGGGACGTGGCATGTCCTGTGCTCATGGGTGGCTGAGGGAAGAAGTAGTCCAGGTTTGAGGAGAGGACAGAGGAGTTGAAGGCTAGGCAGCCTGGAGACTGGCGGAGCCAAGGCCACAGGGCCTTAAGGGAAGGTTCCAGAAGAACAGGAAACTCAGGTCACATTATCTGCACAGGAGCGAGCTCAGCAAGGCCAGGGGATGGGAGAGGGGATCTTGAGTTTCGCTGAGGTAGAGCCTGGGGTTGGTCCGGGAGCAACGAGCTCAAAGCTAAAAGGGGGCAGA